GAGCGGCTCGCTCTGTTGCCTGGCGGCCTTGCGTTGATTGCAGAGGAGTTCGTTCCTCCAGGCCAGGATCCTGGAGCAGAGCCTATCGAGTTCTTGTAAAATGCGTTGCCACTTGATGTCTTCTTATGCTCTATGCGATGGCTCGCGCCTCGACCCTTCCGACTCGAGCACGGCGTTCTCATTGTAGATTATGTGCGTTTCGCGCGTGGCGCACCATCCCCGCCAGCCCTTCCAGATGCGATGTGTTGTTTGGCCTTGGTCTTGGGCTGTTGTGGGATGTTTTGGGCTCTGCCCCCACCTCCTCTTCCTCTCGGATTCCTGGGCGCGGGTGGGGCGGGGCCGACCTGGCCCGAACTTCTGATCCATGGGGTCTTTCGACGGCGGTGTTTGCATTCGCAGTGCCATGCCAGGGTTCCGCCGACCCCTTCCCCCCGCCCTCGCCGCATACACAATTCATTATGCTAGCTGCTCGGTCAGTCCGACGGGCCCCGCGGGCCGCGATCCGTGCGAAGGGTGCGCCGAATTGGGGCGTGCCATTTCTGACAACATCCCGCGGGTTACGATCCGCGGGCAGACAGAAGCAGAACCGAGAAGGGGCAGGACATCAGCAACATAACAGCGAACGGCAGGAACCAAACAGACAGAGGGAGAGAGAGGGATGACGATGAGGGATGAGCGGGACAATAAGGGCGCGCACTGCCGCTTGGCTCAACACGCCGCTTTGCCCCCTTATGGGGCGCGTCCAGGATCATGCGCACTCCCCTCATAATTTTCTTTCTGTCCGTCAACGCCCGTGCCTTGGCGTCGCCGCCCCACCTGTTGGCCCCGAGCCAGCCGAACTCGGCGCCGACATCGTGCCATCATAAACCATAAAAAATGTTGACGCTTCGCGAGTCCCCGCCAGCCCATCCAGAAACGATGCCCAGAGGAATTGCCTCGACCAGGGAAGTGGGGCAGCACGCGGAGGAAGCCAATGTGAGATAGCTTGAGATGTCTTGGGTTTGGAGGTCGCTTTGGGCTCTCCCAGGCGCTGTTGGGGTCATCTTAGTCCGTGGCCCCCCCACGCGAGGCCAACATGTTAGCGGCTAAAACCCCACTTGAATCATTGATTATTGGCATTCTCGCCGAGGCCTCTTGGAGCATCTTGGGTGTCGATGGGGGGGTCTTTCGGTGCCTCTTGGGGGTCTCTTGGGGGCCTCCTGGGTGCCTCTTGGGGGCCTCCTGAGGCCATATCGGGGCCATCGTGGGACCTCTCGGGGCCTCATGGGCGCTTCTTGGGGCCATCTTGGAGGATATCGACCAAACATGAGGGGGGCTTTAATTAGACCCCCCCCCCCAGGAGGCCAACATGGGGCCAAAACCAGAATAAAACTTATGATGTTGGCTTCCTCGCCGAGGCCGTTTCGGGTGCCCCGACGACTCGCGCCATCCCCTGCCCAGGTCGTGTAGGGGGGGGGGGGGGTGGGCAAACCCCTTCCCCGAAGGGGAAGACGGAGGGGCGGAATAGGAAACTCCCTCAACCACCGACGCCCAGAGGGCTGATGGGACTCAGTCGGCGCATCTTGCCGACGCCAAGCCCGATGCCAACCCAGCAGCACCAAGCGCGCAGTGACTGAAACGCCATGCCAAACCAGCCTCCGAAACCAACTGCGCAGAGACCTCAGCGCAATATCAGCGCGGCTCGGCCGAACGGTTTCGCAATCTCCCAGGGTGCGCCGCTGAAGTGGGGATCCGCGATGGGTGGTTTGCTCGTTGTCGTCGTCGTCGTCCTTGCGGGTGCGTCGCAGCGCGGGCGCGTCGCGGCGCAGGCGGCCCGCTGCGCGGGTAGGTCGCAGCGCGGGTGGGGCGCGGCACCGATGGGCCACGAACGCGCCGCGCGCGGGGCGCGGGCGCAGGAAGGCAACAAGAGATGTCACACCAGGCAGCGTTCGCGTGACTGCCCGAGAAGCTTGGTGGCGCCCTTCCGCCACCAAGGGCGTCTCGGAACTGTTGGCGGTGCCCTCCTCGGCAGCGCCTGAGGGGCCGCGTCGTTCGTTGCAGCGCCCCATGGGGGCGCAGAGACGACTCCGATGCACGTCGGCCAATGCGGCCCCAAGAGCGGTTGCGCGATCATTCTTGCGTGATCGGGGTGGTGGGCGTTCGTCTGGGCAACGTTGGGGCGTTCCTGGGGCACGGTGCCTCGGGCCCTGGCGGGCGCGGGCGAGGGGGCATATTGGCCTAACGTGGCGTCTCGATTACCCCACGGTTAGATCGGGTGGTACCCCGAGGTCGGTCGCGTTGGCGCTCTTCCCCGTGGCGGATTGTGATGCCCTGCCTTTTGATGTCGTGGGCCCTATCGAGGCCGCCGCGTGGCCCGCCCCCCGACCGACCATCGCAAAGCCTTTGGGCCTAAGAGGGCGCCGAAACAACCCCAAGAGGGTCCGAAAGCAGCTGCGCAATGATACCCAGAGACCGACATCGCGAGAACGCGTTCGCGGGACCGCGTTGGTGCGTTTACCAAGTACCCTCGGGCAAAGTCGGGGCCGTGCCGCGGCCGCGCTGCGCCTTCTACGGTGGGCGGGCGGCCGTGCCGATGTGCCGCCAACGCGCCGCGAGGCGGGCGTGCCGCGGGCGGGTCGCAGGCGCTGGCCCGTCCAGTGCGTTTGTTCTGCGCTGCAATTACGAACCGATGCGCGTTGCCAGAAGCGCCATGCCGAAGCAGCCCCAGCTGGCCCGAACGACGCCGCGGCGCGCGCCACCACC